TTGTTACAGTAGTTCTTTGTTTTATGTTTTTGTTCTGTGAAAAAGCAAAAGCACCAAAACAAATCTGGACATTTTTTTTTTTTTTCAAATAATTAAATTAAATTTTTTATATATTTAATAAAAAATGTAATTACATATAATATATACAAATATATGCTCGAAATACATTATATATTTTTTATTTTGTGTGAATATATATATTAGGGATGCATGATTGGCGCATTCATTTTGATTCTTTACACGTGTAATGATGTCCAGTGACTTGTTTGCATTATTTATGCATTATTTTATTTGTAAGACTTTTTTTATGGCTAAATTTGGTAATGGGAGAGTAAAATTATTTTGAAAACGTACACCGTTCAAACTAGGCTGCTTATGTTGAAGTGTTTGGGATGTGGCTTTTAATGATGAGACCTTTTTTGTAATCAGGCTCTCAAAAAGTATATAAAGATTTGGATATAGATTTATCGGCCAACATATCGGTTATCGGCTTTCAAAAATAAAGAATTATCGGTATCGGCCAAAATTTTCATATCGGTGCATCCCTAATATATATAATGTATTTATGTATGTATGTATATATTTATGCATGTGTGTGTGTGTTTTTAAGTGATCACTCCAGCTTGTCGCAGTCCGTGGCTTTCAGTCCGTGGTTTTCTCTCTGGTCTCTCACAGATTGCTAAGATGGGAGGAGAGCAGATGCAGCACCTGAATAACTCGTCTCCGGTCGTCGATGCCTCGCTGTACGGCTACGGAGGGCAGAAACGCTCGCTGGACGAAGGAGGTACCTGGGGTTTTGTGGTTAGAATTGTCTGCTAAATGATTAATTGTCGTCATGAGTTTTGTCACCAGTGTGCGATCAGTCACGTCTGAGTAATACAGCAGATACAGGACAAATGTGAAGTAACCCAGAGGTTAAAATCAATGCAGGACTTTATGAAGCGTTGACCTTTGACGGCGTTTTTCTGCACGAGCCATTGATTGGTGCTTCTGTTCTCGAACTGCTTGTGAAACGTCAGAAACAGCGAGTCACATCATGGTTAAAAACTGGGCTGAAAGTCAAAGTTAAAATCTGTGGAGAATTTTTTTTTTTTTTTCATTTATTAATGCAATGTTTTTTTTCTGGCCTTAATTGTTATTGGCTATTACTAAAGGACAGCTTTATTAAGTAGCTCGCCATAATATATTTTTTGAATTTGTTTTCTTAGAAACTCCCCTAAGTTATGTTAATTAATTATTAATTATTATATTAATTAATAATTTTGATTATATTAATTAGTTATGCATCTTATTTGTAAACAAAAAACTTTATCCTTGATACTTACACTTTTTAAATTGAACATTTTCGTGTTTTAACTGAAACCAACATGAATACAAACAGTATTAAAAGTGCCAATGGAGTGATATTAAAAGATATCAAAAATACTTTTCTGCAAATTAATGTAGTTCATATTTGACCAATAGAGGATGTAAACGTCACGAATCTCACCAAATCATGGCTTTAATATTTTAGAATTTTGCTATTTCTATTCATTATTTATTTGCAATTCATTGAATGTCTAAAACTTTATTTGTTAGATAAGTAAATAAATAATGATAATTAGCTATGAACTTGTTTTACTGTTTTTTAACTATTATTAAATTAAATTTTTAAGTGTATTAAAACTATTTTGAACTATTTATTAAAACTTTTAAACCCCAACATTTTATCAAAGCATTTCTATTGTCTCAAAACTTGAAAAATAATATATTAGTTATGACTGCATTTTTAAATCTGCATTTTTTTTTGAACATTTGCATATTTGCCAGACTGTAATATGATGCTCTGTGTATTTTTCAGTAATAAACACTAATGTATTTTTCCCTTCTGTTTCTGTGAAGTGGCTAACCAGCTCGGTGCAATGGTACATGGTACAAGGTGAGAGCTTTAATTCATTAAAACTCTTATATTTCTATTTCTATTTCTATGCACAGCTGTAATGATTATGTTGTTATATGTTTGTTTAGGGCTATAATAACAGAAGACTTCAAAGTGCCTGACAAGATGGTTGGATTCAGTAAGTACTGTGGATCACTTCATAAAACATATGGATTTTGCACAAACATTTGAGTTTTAGTAGTCTAATAATTAGTGTGCAATATCTAATGCAGCTTCTTTGTGATGTTACATTTTATTTAATAGTTTATGAATGAATGCTCTAAAAGTGTGCAGATTTTTACTAACAAATATACTGATTTACGCACATTTAAATTTTTTGGTGTAATTTAAAAAAATATATATATATATGTATGTGGGTCAAAGACGAAAAAGGGTTTAAACATAAAAACAATACTGCTTTAAATTGTTGTTGTTTTTCCCAAAAATTAAAAAAAAAGTTTTCTGTTTAATGGAATTGTATTTTTGTTTTTGTGTTTCCGAGCAAAAAATAAATATCATACATTTTCCCCTGATTTACAGAAGAGACGCATTAAAATGTCATTCAGTGTAACAATCTCGTCAGGCATATTTACAACAAAAATCAATTTATGACATATTTAAAAACTAATTACTTTCACCCCAAATACTAATTAGCTGTAATTTTAAATGTTTTTTTTAAATGTGCCACTATCCTAGCTTTTGCCCATTTGTCAGTAAGAATTTTTATTCATTTAAAACCCAATAAAATTTAATATGCTCCCTTATTCTTTTATATATATTTTAATATGTACAGGTCAGAATAAGCATGTTGTTTGAATTTTTACATAACTGTAAGTGTTACACTGTAACATTATTTCAACAAAATTTTGACATTTTACTCGTAAAAAAAACTTGTTTGAAATGTAGACACTTTACTCACATTTAATGTGCTTTCTATGGACATAAAATCACTTTTTGATGCGGACATCTTAACGTCTTTGGCCCATATATATATATATATATATATATATGTGTGTATATAAGCATTTACTGTTGTGTTCTGGAAAACTTGTATCCTAGTATGCACACAATTTTTGGCCTTTTAGAATCTGAACTCTGTATGTTTATTTAATTATTTTCTTCTGTAATAAATAGTAGTATGCATGCAGTTTTTGGCTTGATATAAGCTGATCTGTGTGTTTTTCTCGTCCGGCAGTCATTGGACGAGGCGGTGAACAGATCACAAGAATTCAGCTGGAATCCAACTGTAAGATCCAGATCGCTGGCGGTACGTTCTGATCGCGTTACAGCCTTTTTCTGCTTCCATGAACCTCAAGTTTGTCTCGTTTGATCTCTTTACGTTTACGTTCTTCCTCAAAAGAACTCGGAGAGTGAGGTGAATGTGGCGTGGGGTTTACAACAGGCCAGATTTTAAGATGCCTCTGAGTGCATCTGTCTAATGTTGATTTATATTTGATTATAAATGTCTGAAAAACAACACAGTAGAAGGTTATGGGTTTGATTCCGAGGGAAAGCAAGAACTGATGAAATGTAAGCGTCGGTGCAAGGAAAAAAAAGCATCTGCCAAATGCCTAAATGTAAATAAAAAATTGTATAATAATGAAAATATTAAGATATTTTCAAAAAAATATGTATAATGTTATATTTATATAATTATGTAATTATATTGATATTTCATAGATATTTAATTAATAAGTATAAGTTCTAATTATGCATTTGAGAATCTTATTGATGCTTATTAAACATATGATGCATACAATTAAGTAGTAATTGATTTTATGAATAAAATAATATAGTAATTAAAACTATAAATATTCTAATAAAGCAAAAATATGTTAATATTCAATACATATTTAATTATAAATTGTAATATACATTTGAGAAATTATTGATACATATTCTTGATTTTAATTTATAATAATTTGTGATCTTGCATTTATGCTAAATTGTGAAAATATAATTTTCCTTATGCATAAATGTAAATAAAAATAATATAATAATGAAACTATTTAAATATTATGATAAAATGTGTAATAAATATTATATTGATATTTAATACAATGTAATTAATAATAATCATAAATATTATAATACATTTGAGATTTTTTTTTATTGATGCGTGTTCCTTAGTAATTAATGATTTTAATTTATAATAATTTAATTTTTGCTAAATTATATTTATTTTTACTAGATCTGTGTCTCTCTACAGTTTAGAATTTATGCAAACAAATAAATTATTATTTCCTTTTTCCTTTCCAACACTCTGTAATGGCATTTTTGGGTGCTTTTCTTACCAAATAGTGCCATTTATTAAAAATGTCAACGTGTTTGATCCATATGTAGTCATAACTTGATCATTGTGATATCCAGAGAGAAAACGAGCTCTGAAGCTGTAAAGTGTTCATGCAAACACGGATATTACGATGTTCGATGGAAGTCACGTTAGCCACGAAGAGCTAAAGTTAGTACGATCGCACAGACTGAACAGCAGCTTCTCGTTTGCCCACAGTCTGTGTTGTGCTTTTTTTTTTGGTTTCTAATTTGCAATGATTTGTCATGTCACCCCCACAGACAGTGGAGGTATGATGGATAGGCCTTGCACCCTGACTGGGACCCCAGAAAGCATCGAGTAAGAATGCAGCACCGCAGTTTAACCCTTGAGCACAAACACAACGCATTATACGCTGCTGCTTTATTAGAGTCAGAATGCACTGAATGAGCGCCAGTCATTCGTCTGTCGTTCGTGTTCGTCAGGCAGGCCAAGCGGTTGTTGGGGCAGATCGTGGACCGGTGTCGGAACGGACCGGGCTTCCACACTCAGATGGACGGGAACAGCGCTGTCCAAGAGATCCTGATCCCGGCCAGTAAAGTCGGCCTGGTCATCGGGAAGGGAGGCGACACCATCAAACAGCTGCAGGTTTGTTAATTCTCTAAGATTTGCTGCCACAAGTCAGTCTTTATTTGTATATTGTGCTCAGGTTCGCTAATGAAAATAGTTCCAATCAGAGCCACAGTAGAACTGCTGAGCGTTTTGTTTCGTTACTGAATGTATCCAGTTTTTAACAAATCAGGTGAGTCAATGATTCAATGACTCATTCATAGACAGTCAGTCACTTGCTTTGTTTCTAAAAGAATCATTTATTTGAATTAACTGAGTGAGTCAGTGATTCAGTGACTCATTCTTAAAGAGTCACTTGCTTGGTTTCTGAATGAATCAGCCGTTTGAACAAATCAAGTGAGTCAGTGATTTAGTGACTCATTCTTAAAGAGCCACTTGCTTTATATCTGAGTGAATCAGCTGTTTGAAAAATTTGAGTGAGTCAGTGACTCATTCTTAAAGAGTCACTTGCTTGGTTTCTGAATGAATCAGCCGTTTGAACAAATCAAGTGAGTCAGTGATTTAGTGACTCATTCTTAAAGAGCCACTTGCTTTATATCTGAGTGAATCAGCTGTTTGAAAAATTTGAGTGAGTCAGTGACTCATTCTTAAAGAGTCACTTGCTTGGTTTCTGAATGAATCAGCCGTTTGAACAAATCAAGTGAGTCAGTGATTCAATGACTCATTCTTAAAGACCCACTTGCTTTATATCTGAGTGAATCAGCTGTTTGAAAAATTTGAGTGAGTCAGTGACTCATTCTTAAAGAGTCACTTGCTTGGTTTCCGAATGTATCAGCCATTTCGAAAGATACGAATGAGTCAGTGATTCAGTGACTCATTCATAGACAGACAGTCACTTGCTTTGTTTCTAAAAGAATCACCTTATTGAAAGATCTGAGTGAGTCAGTGATACAATGACTCATTAGTTAAGACAGTCACGTGCTTGGTTTCTGAATGAATCAGCCGTTTGAACAAATCAAGTAAAAGAAAAAAAGAGAGTCCCTGCGTCCCAATGTGCATACTATCCACCCTGTCTGCCCTAAATAGTATTGAAAATTACTAATGTCACATACTATTTAGGATGGATAGTATGCACATTGGGACGCAGGCAGTCACTTGCTTAGTTTCTGAATGAATCAGCCATTTGAATGATTTGAGTGAGTCAATGCTTCAATGACTCATTCATAAAGACTTGCTTCATTTCTGAGCGAATCTGAATCGGTTGAGTGATTTATTCAATGACTTACTCACTGAGAAAGTGACTTGCTCTTAGTTTCATATTAACAGTATAATTTCATTTTGAAAAATATCGGTATATTTTAAAGCTGCTTTTTTATTCAACACTTTTCTCATCTAACACAATAATGACTTTAAATAATCTTTTTTTTGGGGGGGGGTGTAATGTCTCAGTCAGGCAGTTAAATTGATATGTGATTATTTAGATTAATTAATCTGCACATCATGCAGTTAATTAGATTAAAAATGAACATTTTTAAGTGTAAATGAATGTTTGCCCACAGGAGAGGACAGGAGTAAATTTGAGTGAGTCAGTGACTCATTCTTAAAGAGTCACTTGCTTGGTTTCCGAATGTATCAGCCATTTCGAAAGATACGAATGAGTCAGTGATTCAGTGACTCATTCATAGACAGACAGTCACTTGCTTTGTTTCTAAAAGAATCACCTTATTGAAAGATCTGAGTGAGTCAGTGATACAATGACTCATTAGTTAAGACAGTCACGTGCTTGGTTTCTGAATGAATCAGCCGTTTGAACAAATCAAGTAAAAGAAAAAAAGAGAGTCCCTGCGTCCCAATGTGCATACTATCCACCCTGTCTGCCCTAAATAGTATTGAAAATTACTAATGTCACATACTATTTAGGATGGATAGTATGCACATTGGGACGCAGGCAGTCACTTGCTTAGTTTCTGAATGAATCAGCCATTTGAATGATTTGAGTGAGTCAATGCTTCAATGACTCATTCATAAAGACTTGCTTCATTTCTGAGCGAATCTGAATCGGTTGAGTGATTTATTCAATGACTTACTCACTGAGAAAGTGACTTGCTCTTAGTTTCATATTAACAGTATAATTTCATTTTGAAAAATATCGGTATATTTTAAAGCTGCTTTTTTATTCAACACTTTTCTCATCTAACACAATAATGACTTTAAATAATCTTTTTTTTGGGGGGGGGTGTAATGTCTCAGTCAGGCAGTTAAATTGATATGTGATTATTTAGATTAATTAATCTGCACATCATGCAGTTAATTAGATTAAAAATGAACATTTTTAAGTGTAAATGAATGTTTGCCCACAGGAGAGGACAGGAGTAAAGATGATCATGATTCAGGACGACCCGATGCCTACCGGATCAGACAAACCCTTGAGAATCACTGGAGACCCTTATAAAGTTCAGGTCTGTCTGTTTATCAGCGATCCACAGCATATATGTGACCCTGGAGCACAAAACCAGTCATAAGGGTCAATTTTGTGAAATTGAGATTTATGTGTCATCTGAAAGCTGAATAAATAATCTTTCCATTGATGTATGGTTTGTTAGGATCGGACAATATTTGGTCGAGATACAACTATTTGAAAATCTGGAATCTGAGGGTGCAAAAAAATCTAAATATTGAGAAAATCATCTTTAAAGTTGTTCAAATTAAGTTCTTAGCAATTCATATTACTAATCAAAAATTAAGTTTTGATATATTTACGGTAGGAAACACACAAAATATCTTCATGGAACATGATCTTTACTTAATATCCTAATGATTTTTGGCATAAAAGAAAAATCTATAATTTTGACCGATACAATGTATTGTTGGTTATTGCTACAAATATACCCCAGCGACTTAAGACCGCTTTTGTGCTGCAGGGACACAGATGATGTTTGAGACACGTGTCTGACTCTGAGTGTGTGTTCTACAGCAAGCGCGGGAGCTGGTGCTGGAGATCATCAGGGAAAAGGATCAGGGAGATTTCCGGAGCAGCCGCAGTGACTTCGGCTCCAGACTGGGCAGCAGCATCGACGTAAGAACACGTTCAGCTGCGATGAAGCCAGAAAGGCCTCGTGTGTTGATTGTTGGTTTGCTCACACAGGTGGCAGTGCCCAGATTCGCCGTGGGAATCGTCATTGGCAGAAACGGGGAGATGATCAAGAAGATCCAGAACGATGCAGGAGTCAGGATCCAGTTTAAGCCAGGTCAGTGTTCACAAACCTCATGTTTGTGCAGCGTTAACATGCATGCAAGATACTGTCGAATTAGACACAGTTCCGCTGTTTCGTAACAAAAAAAGGTTTAATATCACCTAATATGTTGATGCTGAGTTTTTTTGTTTTTATTTTATATATATATATATATATATATATATATATATATATATATATATATATATATACACAATCTCT